ATTTGATGGGCTCAGATGTATGGCTCCAGAGTGTAATAGGCGTTCTCTTTTATAACCATCACACCCTGGAATCATGCATCTTAGAGGGTTTCACACACTATAATTTTGAAAGAAAAATTATTCTTGCTATACCATAAGTACGTTCTAAAACTACATTAAAATTTTTGTTGCAGTGAAAATCTTCATTTTTTCTAATTTCCAGGACTATCAATGCATCGTCACTTAACCAGCCTGAACCAGCCAATCCTTCTAAAGTTGATTCAACCAAGTTGCTATGATAAGGTGGATCTATGAAAACTATACCACATTGAGAAATAGATTGCGGTAATTTATCAGCGCTACAGCAGATGAGTGTAATATTATTTATAATGCCAAAATTTTCAGCCGTCTTTTTTGGTAATTGCAAATTGTAATAGTCTGAATCCACCATAAATGCATGTTTAGCACCATGAGAAATTGCTTCAAATGACAAAGCACCACTACCACAAAATAAATCGAGTACATTTAAATTATGAATCGACTTTCTTGAAAGCAATATATTGAATATTGCCTCGCGAACAATATTCATGGTTGGCCTTGCAGCTAGCTGTTTACCTGTAACTATTTTTCTTCCACGGTATTTACCCGCAATAACACGCAACATATTAATCTCACTAAATATTTTAATATCACATCACTAATTTCTTCACTAAGCAGCAAATTCACTCATTAGAGTCCTTATATCTTGCGGTAAATCAGATTCAAACTCCATATATTTTTTACTTTTTGGATGACATAACCCTAATTTATAAGCATGCAAAGCTTGTCTATTGAAGTGACAAATAAAATGAGAGTTTTTAGTATATTTCGCACTTTTGCTACTATTTTTACCATAAACCTGGTCACCAACTATGGAATGTCCTATATAACTCATATGTACGCGAATTTGGTGTGTTCTACCTGTATCTAAAACACATTCTACTAAGCTTGCACATCCCATAAGCTTTTGCACTGAATAATGGGTAACTGCTGACTTACCTATAGTTTTTGTCACACACATTACTTCCCTATTGCCACGCTTTGGAGCAATATTAGTCTTTATAGTTCCTTGCTGAGAAGACAAAGTTCCCCAAACTACCGCTAAATACTTACGCTTTATTTCACGATTTGACAGTGAGGTTGATAGAAAACTATGAGACTCTTCATTTTTTGCGATAACCATTAATCCACTAGTATCTTTATCAAGCCGATGAACAATACCTGGATTATTATTAGGAAGGTAAGCTATCACTGCATTTAAAAGTGTATCGTTGTTTGTCCCTGCTCCAGGATGCACAGTTAACCCACTCTGCTTGTTGAGTACTATGATATCTTCATCTTCATAGATAATATCAAGTTTTATGTTGTAATTAGGTTCAATTGATGTGGATATATCAGGTTGAACAAGGTGTATTGCATACTCATCACCCGGTTTTACTATGTGGTCATTATTAGTTATAGATTTACCAAGCAGCGTTACTTGCTCACTTCGTATTAACTTTTGAGCCTTACTGCGTGATATACTACACTCCTGCGCTATATAACTATCCAACCTTTTCAATGTTAATTCAACCTGGACAAGCTGCTACATACATCGCTTCAATGCTTGGATTTTTCACATCCACATTTGTATCAGGTGGAACAACTTCTGGCTGTTCAACAGTCTTTTCTTGTGCATGAATATCAAAAGTTATCTGAGCACCGTTTTTCATGTGAGCTACGAATTTGTTATCTACGCTTTGTAATGTGACTTTTTTACCATTTATTATCAAATCAATGGATCCAAGTAGGTGATGGAAAAAGGCTCTTGGAGGACCATTGAGTGCTTCCTTCCATACAGCTCTTTCTTCTTGCTTTTCTTCTTCTGCATATTTTGCTTCAAGTTCTTTGATCTGTTTTTTCAGAATTCGTATTCTTTCTTGTGATTCCAAATCCTCCTTTATTTTACGTAATCTATCTTCCTCACTATCTGATGGATTAGCAGCATTATCTCCATCGCCAGACTCAGAAAGAGAGTCATGACCACTATCTTCTGGGTCTGTTGGACCTTGCTTCTTTTGCCCCCTTTCTGCTAATGGTTCTTCTACTGTCCGTATTGTCTCTAATGTTGCTCTTGTGTTATTAGGTTGACCTTGCCTTTCCTTCAACTCTTTCGCTAGCTTCTCTATTTGTTCATTACATCTTTGCAACATACCCATAAATTCATTTGAAGCTGGAACTCTATCAAATGATGCATCAGGCATTCTTGTATCACTAAAGCCAGCTGCAGCCAGCCCACCCACTCTACCTGGTACAAGCCTAGCTAACCTATCCTCCAAAGTTTTTGCCAACTTACTAAAATGATTTACTAGAATCATTATCTCCTCTACATTTACTTCATCCAGTTTATTTTTTACACCCCCTTCAACCCCCTTGCATAACTCATTAACACTGTTAGCAATGTTTTGCAGACATTCAGTAATTGCTTTATCAGCAGTTGTTTTTACTCCATCTACATCTTTTGTTATATTTGCTTCTAATGTATTAAATAGAGTACGAATATCAGCTCTTACACCATCAAGTGTTTTCTGGGCTTTGGCGCTTAAAGGTTTCAAAACGCTATTGTCAATTACGCCAATAAAGTCAGTTAATCGTCTATCCACTAACTTCAATGCCCGAGATACTATATCATTGTTTTCACTACTTTCAACCTTGTTTTCCATTACTAACGCAGTTTTACCCTTTGAGAAAGGAACAAAAGTATTGAAAAAAGGAATAATGTTTGGGCTTCCAAATTTTACTGTAGTATTAGACATCTGTTTTATTTTGTTATCTTTTAGTTTACTCAATGCCACTAAAGCACCAACAACAGCAATGGCAACTACCATTGAGATGAAAGATATCTCTTCCCACCCACGTATATTGGCAAAGCCGAATTTTCCAAGCGCAATAGTTACAATTAGACTACTGATTACATATGGTACAGTAATAAAAATAACTTTATTCCTATTTTCCGCTGCCTGATTTTCTAATGCTGTTCCCTGCTTTTCAGCAATAGGTACAATTATTGAAATTTTTTTATCAGTTATATGCCTTACACCAGGAAAAATTTCTATTGCCCGCGCATCTTGAGCAAGATGATTTATCCCATCACTTTGTCCACCTCTAATTTCTTCGTTTATGAAATCTTCATCTTTTATTTCTTGCTTGTGTATATATTTAAGGGTAACAGAAGTTAAAAAAGCCGCTACAAGCACGAGGGAAACGAGAGCATATAATGAGATTGCACTTGGATCTAATATATTTGTGAGAAAACTTAGATCATTACGAGTAATCATAATTGCAGCAATATAAGCTAAAGAGAACTGCACCCAAGTGTTAATAGCTACTGTAGATATTGTACCATTTATAGAATATTTCTTTGTCGCATACCAGAGCTTAGTAGGATAACCAACAACATCGGCAACACCGCCCACTCCATGCAGAAATTTAATAGTATTAGAAGGATCTGTACTCATGTTTTTTTCTTACTTCAATTGAATTATTATATATTAATTATAATTAAAGATCAAGCTTTATGCCAAGGTCTACTAGAACGTGCTTTCTTCACAGTGATATCGTCACGTATTAACCAGATTGAATGTGTACCATATACCTCTAACTCATCATACCTGATAGTCCGAGTATCGCAGGCTGAATAGTCAAACCTGCGCAATTGAAGTATTAGATCAACATTATTACAATGTTTTAAAATATCCTCTTTTTTGTCAGCCAGCAATACTGATTTACCATTTTCTTGATACACACAACCATCACCATCACATTGTAGTCTTTTATTTGCATTGTTATATTTTGCATGATTCACAACCTTATCTTGTCCATTTTGCCTTGCCCATGTTTTTACAACAAAATTTCTATTTTTTTTAGTGAGAGAATATAACAAAGTATCGTTTTCCTTAATAGCAACGTTATCAGCACTTACTAAAATGTCAGGAGTTTTATATGCAACACCAAAACAAATACCTAATATAATAAAGAAAATTCCTAAAAAACGCCAATTTTGTTCCCATAAGCATAGCCACAATAATCCAAGTGTTATAACAACAACTGATAAAGCAGGAAAAGTGTGAATGGGAATAATTAAGTATTTTAACTCTGCAATTGTGTTTGTTACATATAAAACACTTTCAACAGAATACTCTATCAATGGCACTATAATTCTTTCGATTCCTAATGGAATTAGCAAAATGTAGACTATTCCCATAGGAATAATAATTAATGTTACTACCGGTATGGCAATTAAATTTGTAATGATTCCACTAATTGAAAAATAGTTAAAATTATATATGGTGTATGGTACAGTTG